ACAAATCTACAACTGCTAAAACGAGAAATTCTGATGAACACATGTGGTTGACTTACTCAGATTGAAAGCACATGCCACAGTGTGCATTTGTCGTGCGACATGCCACTTCGCTCTCTACTTGCTGTCATGCAAAGTGTAGCTGGGTGATGCCACATTGAGTGGTTGTTCATCATATTTCTCTACCCATGGCTTGTTTCCCTTGGCTGGAGAACCTCCCCTCATTGTAGTCAAAGCGTGATTTAGGCAGTCGACCTCATCACCTCCAGCGGGTAACCGTCCGCCTAGGCGCCTGCACTGCTCCTTCGCCTGTGACAAAGTTGCCGTATTGGCATACACAGCAATGTGAGCTCTGCTTTTCTCACACATGTAGCTACTCTCTATGCACAGAAAACAGCCCGTACACATATACACATACAGACACATTTGAGCGAGAAGGAGGGAGATATGTACTTCCTCCAGAAACAAAAACTTTGTTACTTTCTTGCACTAAATTCCCATGCACAGAAAAGAGCAAGTGCACATAAACACGTACAGACAGATTTGAGCGAGAAGGAGGCAGATATGTGGATAAAGCATTGGGTGTGTAGGCACGCATATGTATAACAATTACATTATCCTAGTTCCGTTGTGCGAGCGTGGATTTATTTAAAAAAAACAGTGAAGAGAACCGCTCAGGCCCACACGTGCACGCAAACACATACACGCACATGCCTATGCACACATACCCGCGCATTTTTTTTTTTTTTTTTTTTTTTTTTTTTTTTTTTTTACTAAGGCCACAGCTTCCAATCATGACATGCAAAGCAGCGGTGCAGCATCGCAGGCATGAATCGTGGACGTGGTGACGGGGTCTGATGTGCTCCACCGACCTAGGGTCTCGGCTTCACTGCACAGCAAACGCGTCGAAAGAAAACGGGGGCTAATAATTATCGGGAGATGGGGGGGGGGGAGAAGAAGAGAAGAAAGAGAAGAGAGAGAGAGAGAGAGAGAGAGAGAGAGAGAGAGAGAGAGAGAGAGAGAGAGAGAGAGAGAGAGACGAGAGAGAGCGAGAGAGCGCGAGAGAGAGAGCGCGCGCGCGCGCGCGAGAGAGAGAGAGAGAGAGAGAGAGAGAGAGAGAGAGAGAGAGAGAGAGAGAGAGAGAGAGAGAGAGAGAGAGAGAGAGAGAGAGAGAGAGAGAGAAGAGAGAGAGCGAGAGAGAGTGAGAGAGAGCGAGAGAGAGCGAGAGAGAGCGAGAGCGAGAGCGAGAGAGAGAGAGAGAGAGAGAGAGAGAGAGAGAGAGAGAGAGAGAGAGAGAGAGAGAGAGAGAGAGAGAGAGAGAGAGAGAGAGAGAGAGAGAGAGAGAGAGAGAGAGAGAGAGAGAAGAGAGAGAGAGAGAGAGAGAGAGAGAGAGAGAGAGAGAGAGAGAGAGAGAGAGAGAGAGAGAGAGAGAGAGAGAGAGAGAGAGAGAGAGAGAGAGAGAGAGAGAGAGAGAGAGAGAGAGAGAGAGAGAGAGAGAGAGAGAGAGAGAGAGAGAGAGAGAGAGAGAGAGAGAGAGAGAGAGAGAGAGAGAGAGAGAGAGAGAGAGAGAGAGAGAGAGAGAGAGAGAGAGAGAGAGAGAGAGAGAGAGAGAGAGAGAGAGAGAGAGAGAGAGAGAGAGAGAGAGAGAGAGAGAGAGAGAGAGAGAGAGAGAGAGAGAGAGAGAGAGATAGAGAGAGCTGGGAGATAGAAGAGCACAGTGCTCTTGGTGATGGGGGCTGCGAAGGATAGCAGGTTCTGGGATATGTGCATGAGAATCAGAATATTGGTGATGATGGCAGCAGGGTTATAAGGTAAGCAGCTGAACACTCATAAGAACAGGGAAAGCGTTGGCGAGCAGATTCAAAGTGCATCAGTAGCAGAGAGCCAGTCCTGAGCAAGAAGGTGACGGTACACCTTTTTCTTAAAGCTTTGCATGTGGGGCTGGGCGGGTGGGTGGTGGAACAGGTCTGGTGGCAGGGCATTCCATGTTGCAACGGTGCAAGCAGGGAATCCTTGGAGACAGCTATTCCGGGTGTTGGCAGGCAGGCCAGTTGTCATCTGGTATGGATGGGAATCCTGCAGCTGGAGAGACTGACGGGTAGGTCTTGTCTCGGGGGCACGGTGAGTGGCTGGTTTAGGCAGCATCTGCTTCAGAGGGCTGGACGCATCTAGATAGCAGAGCTTGTAGGTATAGGCAAGTGCAGCTACCAGGCGACGGAGTGCCAGGCTAGGGAGCCAGGTACCTGCTCCGATGATGTGGAGGGCCCTTCGCTGGATCTGGTCCAGCTTCTTAAGATGGGACGAGGGTGAGCCCATCCACACTAAGGGGCAATACTCGAGTGTGGGTCGCACAAAGCCGTTGTAGACGCGTTGGCGGCTCTCGGCGTCCAGAATGGGAGACGCTCGCTTCAGGAAGCCAATCCGCTGGTTAGCACGGGAAGCTAGGGAGCGGAGGTGGAAGGAGTAGCTCAGGGTGTCGTCAAAGGTGACTCCCAGGAGTTTCAGCCGACTCTCTTCACTGACCGGTGTGCCGTCAAATGTTGCTCGAGGGAGCTCCCAGGGCTGGCGATGGTGGCCTATAGACATAGCCTGCGTCTTGGAGGGCTCAAATTTGATCCTCCACTTATGTCCCCAACGGGAAAACGCATCAATGCCCTGCTGGAGGAGCTCGGAGCCACAGTCAATGTCAGCTCTTGATGTGAGGCAGTGGAAGAGAGTGGTGTCGTCAGCGTAGGCTGCTAGCTCCATACCTGGTGGGAGGTGGTCCTCGCCATCATTGGTGTAGAGGATGAACAGGGTGGGACCAAGGATACTGCCCTGCGGCACGCCAGCTTTGGTCGGGTACGGACTGGAAAGTTCACCTCCAACTGCAACCCTCAAGTGACGATCAGTCAGGTAATCCCTCAGCCAAGCGAGAAGTGGACCAGTTACACCATAGCATTGTGCCTTGTGCAAAACGCCTACATGAGAGACGCGGTCGAATGCGCCAGCCACATCAACTGCAATGACTCGAACCACACCACCTCTGGCTGCAACGCGACTCCATTGGTAGTTGAGTAGCGTGAGTATGTCCTGGGTGCCGAGTTGGCTGCGGAAGCCATACTGACTTTTCGATAGGATGTTGTGTGCCTCCAGGAACTGTCGGATTGAGTGGTTAATAATGGCCTCCATGACTTTCGACAGAATAGAGAGGAGGGAGATCGGGCGGTAGTTCTTAACATCAGACTTGGATTTTTTCTTGTGCACCGGCACAACCATTGCCGTCTTCCACATTGTAGGTTGCCGACCTTGGTGGAAGGCCTGCGAAAAGAGCCGCGACACGGGTGCAGCCAGCTCTTTGCTGCATTGCCGGAGTACACGCCCGGGGATGCCGTCTGGACCCGTGGCTTTGGCGGGGTGGAGTTGCCTCAGCTTCCGCTCAACCGTGTTTGGCCGAAAGTGGACATTGCGGAGTTGAGCTTGAGATCGGGGGCGGACTGGAGGGAGGCTGTTGGCTTGCAAGTCGTTGTCACCAAGACTGCACTTTGCGGAGAAATACTGCCCGAATGCTTCGGCCTTTTCGCTGCAGGTGGTGTGCTCAGTTCCGTTCGACGCACGCAGAACAGGTATGTCTGCAGAGCGGTGTCCTTGCCCACCTGCTCGCTTGACGGTTGTCCACCATTGTCGGCTGGAAAGGGCACCTTCTCTTATCTTTCGGCGGATACTGGTAGTGTGCGCTTGCTTGGCTCTGTGCAGACAGTTTGTTGCTTCACCTGTTGCCATAGAGTAGGCCAGCCGCAGGTGTGCATTGTTGGGCGAAGATCGGTGACGTCGCCAGGCCCGTTGCTTCCTGTCAACAGCTTCCTGGCACTCAGGTGACCACCAGGCTGGGTCTCCCTGGCGTAGCTTCAGGGTTTTGGATGGAATGAACATCTGCATGCCCTCTTTGATCTTCTGTGTGAGTTTCACACAAGATACGTCAATGCTGTTGTCATCAGTCAACACCCAGTTTGTGGACCGAAAGAAAGCCCGTAGCCGAGGCCAGTCAGCATGCTGGTAGCGCCACACGGTTCGCTTACTGGGACGGTCACAGGAGGGGGCAACTTCAAAGTCAGTTATCACAATTGCGTGGTCAGATTTCCCTAGAGGTGGATGGAGAGTTGAGATGACGCTTCCAGGGATATCTGACATTATGAGGTCGAGGATATTATTGCCACGTGTTGGCTCATGGACATGCTGATCGAGGCAATGGTGGTAACACAGATCTTCAGCAGCTTCACCAGCAGGGGAAGTTCTACTGCTGCCTAGCCATTCCCGGTTGTGAACATTTAGGTCACCTGCAACGATGATATTCTGGCAGCATTGCCTAGCATCATCTATGCCAGAGCTGATGCTGTTTAGGGCAGAGATGTCCCCATCAGCGGATGAACCTGAGCGATACACAGCACATACTCCAATGGATGGGCCAGCTGCTGTCTTGAGGCGAACCCACAGGATTTCATTTCCACCAGTATCAATACATTCTAGTTCTGTGAAAGCCAGGTCGGCCCGAATCCAGATAGCAACACCGCCCCCCTGGGCCGTACGGTCCCTTCGAACTGGTGGGAAGTATCCAGGGAATGTGAGGTCAGCAGGCGTGGCCTTGTCCTCCGTGACTTTTGTCTCCGTGACGATGACAATGTCAGGGTGGTGGGCATTGAGAGAAGCTTGGAACTCCCCAAGTTTTGACAAGATACCGAAAGCATTTGTCAGCATGAGGCGGAGCATTCTAGGTGGTTGCCGTGCACGTGTTGGAGCCATCATTGTGAGGATTGGTTATCCTGCCGGGGTGGCTGCGCACCAGGCTGGGCAGAACGCTTCGCATCGTGCGACAGCGAATCAGGTGACCGCTCGGCAGAAGAACGTTTGTGGCTGCAGAAGAACGTTTGTGGCATGCATGCTCGCGCGCACACACACACACACACACACACACACACACACGCACACAGACATCAGAATAAACAATAACAAAACAGCAAGGAGAGTAGGGGGTGCAAAGCAAGCCTGTGCTGGTGAGGCAAGCGAACAACACTGACCTATGGTTAAAGTAGCTTACCCGATTCAAGTTCACACACAACCTTGTGCTTGGGTGCTGGGTCAGATGTTAGATCATAAAGTTTTTCGTCACTCGCATACTGTAAATGGCCGTGTTGGCTGGCCAACCAGGCAAAGCTGCCCCTGGGACGCAGGAAGTCCTGCACGCACGAGGTCTTAGATGCGATCTTTGCATTGAACGTCTTGCAATGTAAGGTTGCTTTGGCAAATGTCATATCCACGGGGAAATACTTGATGATAGTCGATGGGTGGTAGGGACATCTGATTCCGGCTGTCCAGTTTGAAAAAGAGCACGCACACGCACACGCACGCACGCACACCTGCCCTGTCCTGTCCTGTAGAGCCACTGCCACAGGGGTCACGTGGGCCCCGGAGGGGCATCAGAGAGGAAGATGGAGCACGCAGCCTGATGACGCCGTAGATGGTGGGGCAAACGGAACCGGCGAGAACACACGCATACATGGCTGAACGAATTACGCTGCTGGGCAGTCGGGCGCGGGCCAGTCCTCGAGCACCGGTGACGACCGCGGCCTTGCACAGACCGAAAGCAGCGGGCACACACGCACACACACACACACACACACACACACACACACACACACACACACACACACACACACACACAAGCATGCCTCAGACCTTAGACATGCCCATCGCGGAAGCAATGATAGCGAACAGCTATGACACACACACAAGCACACACACACACATACACACACACACGCACATCCATGTTGAATACCTACGGTAGAATATTTTTCGGAAATCAGCTTTATTGTTTTACCAACAAACAAGTCGAGGTCAATATCCTATTTATCACGATTCGGTCCTTCGGCCCTTTCTATTTTCTATAAATTTTCATGATTGCCATATCCCCTAAATTTGATTCTTGGGAGCTATTATAGCCATTTTAGTATAGCTTTGTACCATAGTGTACACAGGATGTTGCATAATTTAGGTTCAAGACTGTAAGAACAACATAGTTCAGCATCTGCGGCACAGTGGCTGGGTGGTATATGCGGTTGCTTAAGATAGATACTTTTGTGGGTTCGAATTCTGCTTGTTCTCTTCCTTTGTCTTCTTTCTTTCAAATTTTCTTGCTGAAGTGGAGAGAAATTTTTTAAGTCCCTACAAAGTCGAAGGATTTCAATGCCTGAGTGGTCGATATAAACAGTCGATACAAGCGGTCGATATTACGGCAATATGGGTAATATAGGACCAGCCAAGGATCACACGAATTAAGGTCGATTCATACGTCATTTCGAGTACCGGAAAAGCGTTGCAAATAAAGTTGATCTGAGCTCAACTATTTCCTGTACGCGAAATGAAGTATGAATCGGCCTTAAAGGGGAAGTTAAGGCAAAAATTAAAATTTCACCAGTTGTAGTCTTCGGGGTGCTGAGTCGAATGGTCTTGGTCCGAGAAAGCTGAGACCTTCCGTTCCTACTTGAATCCCAATCGAACTCGCGCACTTCCACCGAAACTGGGTGACTGCGCCCTACTAGATGGGGATTTGTATGCAAAATGTCACTAAAAGCGCCATTTCGTTCTTATAAAAGCACGCATGACCACGATTGGCCCATATGTTGTAGTCTTTTGGACGCTGAGTCGACTGGTTTTGGTCCGAAAAGGCTGCGATGCAGCGTTCCTCCTTTATTCCCAATTGAACATGGTTGAACAAGCGGTCACGTGCTCCTGGGTGCCCAAATCACCTGGTCACCACGCTAGCGGGCGACAACTTTCACACCAAGATTCAACTCGAGTTCAACTCGAGTGACAGGACTGCAGTCAAAAAAGGTCAAACAGGCTAGTAAGTTGTACCCTGCAGGCACGGTGACCAGGTGACTGGTGTACGCAGGAGCACGTGACCACTTGTTCGACCATGTTCGATTGGGAATAAAGGAGGAACGCTGCATCGCAGCCTTTTCGGACCAAAACCAGTCGACTCAGCATCCAAAAGACTACAACATATGGGCCAATCGCGGTCATCCGTGCTTTTATAAGAACGAAAGGGCGCTTTTAGTGACATTTTGCATACAAATCCCCATCTAGCAGGGCGCAGTCACCCAGTTTCGGTGGAAGTGCGCGAGTTCGATTGGGATTCAAGTAGGAAGGGAGCGTCTCAGCTTCCTCGGACCAAGACCATTCGACTCAGCACCCCGAAGACTACAACTGGTGAAATTTTAATTTTTGCCTTAACTTCCCCTTTAAGGCTTTGTTTACATAAGGTGTTTCAATCAGGGTTGAGTTCGGGCCAAGTTTCAACCCGGGTTGAGTCGGGCCAAGTTACAACCTGCCATGAACACCGATTGACTGCCATGTTTACATGACGCCCTGCGCTTGACCCGAGTTGAATATTTGCCCCGGGCTGATTCCAACCCTCCCCCAAGGAGAGGACTGAAATCAACCCGGGCAAGAAATCGTACTAAGGGGAGGGTTGAAATCAACCCCGAGTCAGAAATCGCACTAACGTACTTCTTTGTGTGTCTCGTGCCAGGTTTGAATCACTGCACATGCAAATTTCGCGCGAAAGGATTCAAGTGACCATACAGGACTCTAGAAGTGGACTTTTGGCAGCAAATCAGTAATTTACCTGGGTCAACTGTCTTCATGCAAACACACACCTATTTTTCCATCATAAAGACTTTCAACCCGCGCTGAACTCGACCCGGGTTCAAAATTCTCATGTAAATGCAGCCTTAGTGGATGGCAATATAGAAGAGTGATGAACCCGATGCGCTAAGGTTTATATTTCACGTAAAAGCGTACTAGTGGAATGTATTCTACTTATGCTGACCGTCTTACAAACTGACAGTCAACTCCTCTTAGGCCAGCTTTAACCCCGGGGCAACGGTATATATGGGGTTTATACGAGGTTTATATTGAGCTGGGGTTTATATGCCCAATATAAATCAGGAGCATGATGGAGAAGTTGCCTGGACGTTTGTATGAAAGGTCAATAAAACGACTCCCACAAGCAGCATACCGTCTAACACATCTAGAGAAGAATACAATCTACAGCTCTGGGTGGAATGAATAGAACGTATCAACCAAAAGAGGAAGTTTCTACCAAGATCTGATAGGTCAAAAGCAGACGTCACCCTGCTTTTCCCTGTGAAACAACTGGCCAAAACTCGGCACCGGGAAAAAAACAATACCAAACCCAAAGCCCACGTAAAAGTGGAAAAAAACTGTGGCAATAGGGGTGGGGTGGAATTCTATCGTTGTCATACTATTGTCATACTTACGTATAGTTGGCGAGGCATCAAAGAACGAGGCTGTACATACAGGAGAGCAGAAAATGAGCTTTACTATTATTATTGTAGAAAGGAAAAGGACATATGGATACGAGTTAAGAGTAACTCTCCATCACTGTATCTCTCCATCACTGTGCCTAGTTATTGTACTTTCTGACTGTATATAGTATCATGTTACAGTGATGGAGAGTTACTCTTAACTCGTATCCATAATGTCCTTTTCCTTTCCACATTTATTTATGGCTCAACATCCGAGTTTCAAATTGCACACTATTATTATTATTATTATTATTATTATTATATCTCCACCAAGCTCTCGCAGCCTTATCCCCTCGTGATGGGAAAGCTGCGGACGGACCTGGCTTTCAGCCTTGTCCGCGACTCCGTCCTGATGGTTCGTGGGAGTCGCCGTGCATTCCGTGCACCTGGTCTGGCGGCGGATGTGGATGCTGTTTCTGTGGAGGCCCGCATTCCCGCCACTACGTGACGCTAAGTCCTCCTGGGGTTTGCCGCTCTCCGGTCCTCTTTCATCCCGTTCTCCCCTCTTTTTTGGGGATTCTTTGTACTTCGTCTTTCTTGTTTTCCTTGTTCCTTTGTTTTTTGTAGGACAGATTTTTGGTGTACTGATTTCGGTCGTTGTTGTGTCTGACTCTATTCCCAATATCTAATTCTGTGGTTGGTTTTCCAACTCATTGGGTTGTAGTTTCCATCATGAGTTTGATTCCATCGTGAGTTTGATTCCATCGTGAGTTTTGATTCTATTTGCTATTTTTCGTTCCATTTTTGAGCTCATATTTTATTTTCCTGATTTCTTCTCCAGTGTATGTTGTATTGCATTTTAATACATTGTGTTAATTTTTGCCCGTAAAAGAGGCTTGCACCATTATTATTATTATTATTATTATTATACTCATAAAAAGGACACACTTCAGGCTCATTACAAACATCTTGAAAGTTTTTGTCTTCACAAGTATACTTTCAAGCCTTCTCATCAGGTGAAATACAGGCAAGGGAAAAGGAACAGGAACAGTGGATTAAATACAGTCAGAAGGTGGTAAAACAGCGCAAAAAGAAAGAAAGAAAGAAAGAAGATAGCTAAAGTAAACAGCGAAAATTGCAATAATGACACAAAGGTGCAAATGCGAGAAAACTCAATAAGCGCGACATGTAGTGCGACAACAAGAGACAACCACTGGACCGTTAGTTACATGTATGTCCAGTGGTTGTCTCTTGTTGTCGCACTACATGTCGCGCTTATTGAGTTTTCTCGCATTTGCACCTTTGTGTCATTATTGCAATTTTCGCTGTTTACTTTAGCTATCTTCTTTCTTTCTTTCTTTCTTTCTTTTTGCGCTGTTTTACCACCTTCTTACTGTATTTAATCCACTGTTCCTGTTCCTTTTCCCTTGCCTGTATTTCACCTGATGAGAAGGCTTGAAAGTATACTTGTGAAGACAAAAACTTTCAAGATGTTTGTAATGAGCCTGAAGTGTGTCCTTTTTATGAGTATTATCGCATTTTTGTCTCAGAGGAAACTGTATTATTATTATTATTATTATTATTATTTTACAAGAAGTCGGAGGCGGATAATACTTTAGTAACGAACGTACGTGTTGGGTCGTAAGTATCCACGCAAACACACATCCAGTCAAAATAAGGCACTTGTCAAAGTATCCGAACGTTTTCGGTCCCTTCTCATCAAGGATTATACAGGGAATGGCTCAAGTTGGAAAGACTAAAACTTATATAGCGTAAAGATATGAGATAACAACACTCGTGACAAGGTGGAAAAAGTATCAAGTTCAGTACGACACAAAAACTCGAAGGAAATAATAATAGCGACAAGAACATAGTGAGCAAATTAAGTTACATTGTTAACACCTCGACGAGGAGTAACACCAAACAATTGTAGCGACAACACATTTTCTTTCTGTACGCAAAGTTCAGGATCTAACTTACGGATATACAAAGCTTCTAACACAGCCAGATGCAACGCACATCTACCACGTGACAATATTGAGAACACATTATCACTGTACAACTCACGACAATTGGTACGGGCTGACAGATGTTGCTTAATGGACGAAGTGCGATTCTTAGCTCCGTTGGGTGTAGTCTCCTCCAATGTCCCGTCATCTCGCCTCTTCGCGGCATCACCACTATCCGCCTCTTTGCTTTTCCGCGGCCTTCCACGTTTTCTGACACCAGCCGTTGTGTGCGCTATGCCCAGTGTCCTTTCAGCTACGTCTCCTCCATTGCGGATTTCTATTGATCTTCTTACTCCAACTTGTCCGGTGCTCGATATTGAGGTTCGTTTTCGCGGTCTACCACGTTTTCGAATATTGACTGTTGTTGTCACTTCCGTTGTCGTTGTACGTGCGCCCTCACCAGTCCGTATTTTTACTTGGCTTCGCGTAACCCTTCCCGACGCAGACAGATCCTTTGTCAATTTCGGTGGTTTACGTGTCGGTCTTTCACCATCTTTCACGCTGTTCTCAGCTGGACCCTGCGCTATACACGCGGAGGAGGACGGGCATGCAGTGATATCTTCACAGGAAGAGGAAGATCCACCGATGGACTGGACAGCACATTTTGGAGGACGACCACGGCGAGGACGACACTCACGCGCATCAAGCGGAACAAAACTTAACGGCACATGTTGACGAATGCGCGCGCCCAGGGGCTGAAGGGTTCTACCTACATACCGATCTTCACATTGTCGGCATTGAAAGAAATAGATAAGGTTACTTTTACTAAGGGTAGGTAGAACATCCTTCTTCACACTGAACGCACGCACTGTCCCAAATATGACGTACAGCTTGACGCACGGATAAGATGGACATACGATACCACGAACATCCTTCTCCACGCGCGCAGAACCGGCGCCAACCCAGGGTAAACGGAGCACCACTGGGCAAAGGTCAGGTCCAAATTGGATCGGCTTGTCTGTCGCCGGTTTTTCGTTGATAAGCTTGGCCAGAAATTCCTTTGGATAGCCGTTGTTCGTAAATATTGACGTCAGTCTGTCTAATTCGTCCTGCAATAGATGAGGGGAACATATTCTATGCGCACGATAAACTAGCGCTTTCACAAGATGTTTCTTCGATTTCGTTGGAGTATAGCGAAGGATGTTCTACCTACCCTTAGTAAAAGTAACCTTATCTATTTCTTTCAATGCCGACAATGTGAAGATCGGTATGTAGGTAGAACCCTTCAGCACCTGGGCGCGCGCATTCGTCAACATGTGCCGTTAAGTTTTGTTCCGCTTTTGCGCGTGAGTGTCGTCCTCGCCGTGGTCGTCCTCCAAAATGTGCTGTCCAGTCCATCGGTGGATCTTCCTCTTCCTGTGAAGATATCACTGCATGCCCGTCCTCCTCCGCGTGTATAGCGCAGGGTCCAGCTGAGAACAGCGTGAAAGATGGTGAAAGACCGACACGTAAACCACCGAAATTGACAAAGGATCTGTCTGCGTCGGGAAGGGTTACGCGAAGCCAAGTAAAAATACGGACTGGTGAGGACGCACGTACAACGACAACGGAAGTGACAACAACAGTCAATATTCGAAAACGTGGTAGACCGCGAAAACGAACCTCAATATCGAGCACCGGACAAGTTGGAGTAAGAAGATCAATAGAAATCCGCAATGGAGGAGACGTAGCTGAAAGGACACTGGGCATAGCGCACACAACGGCTGGTGTCAGAAAACGTGGAAGGCCGCGGAAAAGCAAAGAGGCGGATAGTGGTGATGCCGCGAAGAGGCGAGATGACGGGACATTGGAGGAGACTACACCCAACGGAGCTAAGAATCGCACTTCGTCCATTAAGCAACATCTGTCAGCCCGTACCAATTGTCGTGAGTTGTACAGTGATAATGTGTTCTCAATATTGTCACGTGGTAGATGTGCGTTGCATCTGGCTGTGTTAGAAGCTTTGTATATCCGTAAGTTAGATCCTGAACTTTGCGTACAGAAAGAAAATGTGTTGTCGCTACAATTGTTTGGTGTTACTCCTCGTCGAGGTGTTAACAATGTAACTTAATTTGCTCACTATGTTCTTGTCGCTATTATTATTTCCTTCGAGTTTTTGTGTCGTGCTGAACTTGATACTTTTTCCACCTTGTCACGAGTGTTGTTATCTCATATCTTTACGCTATATAAGTTTTAGTCTTTCCAACTTGAGCCATTCCCTGTATAATCCTTGATGAGAAGGGACCGAAAACGTTCGGATACTTTGACAAGTGCCTTATTTTGACTGGATGTGTGTTTGCGTGGATACTTACGACCCAACACGTACCTTCGTTACTAAATTATTATTATTATTATTATTCAAAGGATCAGTCGGGGAAGTGAACTGCCTGAAAAGAGAAAAGAACGCCAGACCCACCAGGACTCGAACCTGGGACCCTGCTTGTCATGAGCAATGCTCTAACCACTGAGCTATGGGACCAGGCTGAACCTAGAAGGCGCTGACAAGTTTTTCACTCCAAAGGCAGCTCACAACACGTGCCACACATACTGATGGCACTTGGGTCTTTTTCCCTCCCCCAGGGGACCAACCACGGTCAGTTTCTGGAAACTACCAGAGGTGAAAGAAAGTGATTAAATTTGGAAAGGATGGGAGAACTTCAAATTCAAAGGATCAGTCGGGGAAGTGAACTGCCTGAAAAGAGAAAAAAACGCCAGACCCACCAGGACTCGAACCTGGGACCCTGCTTGTCATGAGCAATGCTCTAACCACTGAGCTATGGGACCAGGCTGAACCTAGAAGGCGCTGACAAGTTTTTCACTCCAAAGGCAGCTCACAACACGTGCCACACATACTGATGGCACTTGGGTCTTTTTCCCTCCCCCAGGGGACCAACTACGGTCAGTTTCTGGAAACTACCAGAGGTGAAAGAAAGTGATTAAATTTGGAAAGGATGGGAGAACTTCAAATTCAAAGGATCAGTCGGGGAAGTGAACTGCCTGAAAAGAGAAAAAAACGCCAGACCCACCAGGACTCGAACCTGGGACCCTGCTTGT